ATCACAGTAATTTTTCGTATACTGTCAAGTTATGGGTCAAAAAAGCATTTTTAAAAGGAAAAAGGAATCGATTATAAAAGTATACAACCAAACCAATATTTGGTGAATATCGACTTCATGTCGCCTCCTGGAAGAGGAAAACAGACTAGGTGCATGGAACTACTTGTGGCCGCATTAGTTTGAGCTAAAAACATACGATATGGTTTTTTATATAAATACATTATTAGTTATTAACTTAACTGCTTTGAATAGTAACGTTTATAAGGAGCCGTTTGCCCTAATCCTTCTCTCTCAAGCACGGTTTTTGAGGAGCCGCGTGCATACCTTCAGCCATTGAGAATGGAAGCTCACGGCCGTTGCTGCTCCGTTTCCTTAACGACCTGAGCTCGGCGACCACCGTATCATCGGAATCTCCTCGTGTTTCCCCGACAGAACATCTTTCACTTTCGGTAAGGAAGTTTGGTTATAATCTTCTGCTTGAGATGATGATTGGTCACTCGCTCTGATTCCTCTCGTGCTCACCGGACAGTTCGACTCGAATTAATCGGAGTCTCTTTCAATCCCGGCTTCGGGTGACTCCAGCCTCGGGGATGAAAAACCCTCCCCCTCCTCCTAAACCACCGGACCCTCCAGAGCGGAGCGAGCCACTGGACCCATCGCGTCGCGGCACAGCTTCTCTGCATCTGCCTCCGTGCCATCACCTCCGCCTATTACTCACTGTCGACAACACTTCTCAATCTCCGGATTCAATCCCTGCTCCGGCGACGACAAGATCCATCCCCTCCCCAAGAGCTCACCATGAACTCTCCGTATCAATTTCCCTCGAGGATCAATCTTCTTGCTCCGGTCTGGGTTCACCGACGCAAAGCTTTGAATCCTCCGATTGTATGAGATCTCATCCTCACCTCCACGACCTTACCTGCCTTGAGATGTCTTATGGATTTCTCCGACCATCTCACTTAAAGACGCCTCCCCAGTCTTAATCGTGTCCTCTCCCGCCGGCAAAGTTGATTGTGTTGTTACAGGATATGAACCCAAACCTCAGCCCAGGGTTTCATCCTCTGCTCCGTGGGCTTGTAAGTCGAATCAAAATTTCTTATAACCCTGTCTTTTAACTTGAAATTACAAATGACCTCCCAAAAAAAGATTTTCTTTTTTATTTTTCTTTTAATTCGAAACTGTAGTAAATGACAAAATAACGTAACCAAAGTTGACTTACTTACTGATCTAACCAGTAATTATCCACCCAAACAACATATCCACCCAATTCACTTAAAAATCTGAATTT